CTAACCTATTTTTCTTTTCTAGTTTAGTAGTTCTATTCTTATCACTGTTCTTCCAAAGTAATTTATCTTCTTTAGGGGCCTGTCCTTAAAAAATGAATGCAGACACCACTAGCAGATTTAGAAGCCAACCAGTCTGAAAATCTCACTCTGCCTTTTCCTTATCTATTCCAAATTTTGCTGAGGCCTGTGTAAACTGTGCGCCTGTGAATATTGAAGTGTATCTTCGGTTTACAACCACAAGTGATCACATGGTGGGGCTAGTAGTAAAGGTAGACAGGTACATAAATGCTTGGAGGATTCCTTAATATTTAAATTATTTCTGATTTTTGGATCAAAGACATTACACTGATTATTAACACTAGAACCTCTGCTGTAAAACTTATTAATCTGTCCATGTACATTCACTAAAGAGGTGCACTGCATGTCTGTGCATGAGAGAGAATTTTCAGTCTTCATTTAAAAATACCAATTTGTCGTTTCTTTAGGTTCTCTTAAGAATCTTAGACCAATACAGGCAAAAAGACTATGTTGCACCACGTGTTCTTCAGCAAACATTAAATTATCTGAACCAAGGGGTTATTCACTCTGTAACATGGAAGCAAATGAAGCCACACATACAGGTCAGTGCATAAAACCCAGTCATAAACACTGCATGTTATCAGGGCGATTAAAAAACCCCAGAAAACCCACCAGTTTTGCAGTTTAAGGAAGGTTTCATTAATCTTTCATGCAGCAGTTGATCTGGGCAAAGAATAGCATTTCTGCACAAATGTGGTTGTTTTTTTCAGTATTATGTCTACCTTTTATTGCAGATATTGCTAACTCAACTAAAGATTCTGTTCTGTAAGTTCTTTATTTTTATTTTTGAAGTCTGCCAGACAGTCATAATGTTCTGGCTTTTATTAATTGCTAGTGTTCAGAATTGTCTAAAGATTTGGAAATTCGTAATTGACTGTAGTGCAAAGACAGTGGGCAAAGAGAACATGAACTATGAGGAACTGGACTGTGTTTTAAGGACATGTTTTATAAGTGAACTAAGAACAAGTGAAAAGTGATTTTCATGCTTTTATTTTTTCATATCATAAGCTCCCCTGTTGTAGTTAGTTAATCCCATGACTGTTAAGAGGAAGGACTCTGAAATCCATTCTCATGTTAAGTGTTGCATTGGTGAGATCCTTCTGCAGAATATGATGTTCTGCTGTTTATAGACTATGTCCTGAAGTATATTTTGTGTGTGGGACTGTATTATTATAAAGTTAGATTATATAATTACTGCTGTCTGGGACTGTTGCAAAAGGAAAGTATGTATATTGTAAGTTTATTTCTGTTAGCCAAAATAAAAGAGCACCGGTTAAAAGAATTTTACTCTTCAGAAAAGTAGGTCTAGTAAATTAGTGCATAATGGAGGGAAGCTGTACTGGAATTTGGTTTTATGTGTACTTATGTGTATTTTACTTCTCTAATATTAGAGTATAACAGAAGAAGTGATATTCTCTCTAATGTGCTACAAAGATGAGGATGAAGAGCTCTGGCAAGAGGATCCATATGAATATATCCGTATGAAATTTGGTAAATGTTTGTGTTCAGCATTTATTTTCTGCTTTCATCATAACTGTACACTATAGTCCCAATTAACAGTATGGCCACTGTAATGTCTCTGTCTTCACCAGTGTCCTGAACAACAGGAAGAAGAAAATTCGTTTCTTAAATCTCACCAATCTGTAGTTAAAGGAAGGCAGATCAAGTGAGTTTTGGCCATTTGGCTGGTAGCTTTAAACTCAATGATTCTCTTAACGGTTTTTTCTACTTCACATGTGCTCAGTGCAGCCTAAATAGACTGGCTTGCTCACTTTTTAATGCCAGTTTCAGAATCCTGAATTGCAGATGTGCCAGCTGTCTGCAAGTTCTTGCAGCTCTCACTTTGACCAGAAGAGGCCTGACTTGCTCTTT